CTACATTTTTGATACTCCTGCACCTACTTTTTTGATACACCTAAACATACCCTAAAATTTATATACTTTTTTACTAATTTTTACTATAATAACGTGCAATCCTATTGGTCAATTTTAGGGTATGTTTATAGGTGTATCAAAAAATTAAATGCAAGAATATCAAAAATGTATGTTTTGCGTCCCTAAGCACTAGATTTCGAAAAGCACGTGGCTGCCACTTTTTTCTGGATGGTTAAGGTACTTTAGAACATCTATCGGATATATCCGGGTGATTGTTGCAAATCATCGGACAATGTCGGATAAATATATAAACTGGTAGGTATAATAATGAACAAAAAAATTAACTTTACATGGACTAATTTATTTCCATTATGGTTTTTTTTTATTTATTATGAATTTCGCCATACGTCATGGGTTTCGTCATGCGTCAAAGGTTTCGTCATTCGTCATTTCATCAATTCGAAGTTGCCTGGCGAAATGGTTTCATCATGCGTCAAGCATCATTACTTGTCACATGATTTGAATCATCGTACAGTCACTTCTCAATAACCAGTAGTATATTTCTTTGTTGCGTGAATCGTGTTAAGAAATTTTTACAATAATAAAGCTCATACGGGAGCTAGACGATTCAACCATTTTTTTAAGAAATTATGCAGTGGTTATGGCGTCTTATCATCTGACCAGTACTTTTGGGGGCCGTCCTGGCGAACTCACTTCTGATCTATCAATCCAGATGCACCTTGCAGATCACCGGAAAATTTTAGTATTGCTCAAAACTTTAATGAATGATTGGTCATTACGCACCCAATATCTATATCTATAAATAATTATGCAATTTCGCCATGATGTAAGGTCGTGTAACACACATTGTGTCCTTTTTGGTTGACAATTTCTATAAATCTCAAAAAATCAGGTTTTCCGTTTTATGAGTAACAATTCGAAAGTTTCATTGCAATTGATATTTTTATATATCATCTGTTAATGAACCAATCCCGACTATCAGCTATTGTCAAACGATGATTGTACAACGTGTTCCTTCCAAAAAATTACGTTTATTTCTAAACCCAAGTTTTATTTTTTCCGTAGAGATTATATATAGAACAGACTACGTAATTTTAGAAGTTATTATTTGGATATTCTGCAAAAGGAGAAATCACATATACATACAACAATAAAGGTTTGCAATAATAAGCTGAAATGATTGTAGTTCTAAATTAAATAAATAATTCTTCTAATGTATATATACGCACTTACAATACTGCAATAGATGAAAATTTTCTCTTGCAGAAGTTTGATCACAAAATCAACATCATTGTTTAGCGCTTTTTTTCACTAGATTGTTTAATTTAATGAGCGATATATATTTGTATATGGAATGATAGAAATTTCATTATTTAAAGATGACGTTCCCTTAAACTTGACTCTCTCTAAGTAAAAAGATTGCCAAAATTCTTTCGATCGTACTTGTGCTTCCTTCTTCTTTTCTTCCAATTCATTCTGTCTTTTCCGATCGAGAACCTGGCTCTCAGATGTCTTTTCATATCCTTCTCTTTGCTGCGTATCCTTTGCCTTCTTCCAGAGAGCTAATGTTATGTTAATTAAAAAATGATCGTTATGAACAAGGCAAATAAATCTGCTAAGAGCCATGGTCTTCGAGTCATATCGAATGTCACCTCGGCAAAGCTCTCAAATGTTTTGTGCAGATGGTGTCTCACTGCCAACTGAGTATGTCATCAACGACTAACAGCTGCACACTGTTCCTGCATCCTATTTTACCCTTCAACAAATTCCTGCCACCAAAAAAATTCCATCTTTAGCCGCTCAAAGGTGGAGTGATCAACCACCTTCTGTGAAATTTTTTTTAGACAATTAGAAAGAAATAAAGGCCCTTAAGAATCGTAAAGAAAAGTTCACAAATTTCCAATATCAACCTCATAAGAAAAAACAAGATCTTGAACTACAAACGTATTGTATACTAATTCACAAGATTACTACTAATTCACAAGATGACTCACAAGATGTAGTGCATGATATATATATATTCTTTACACCAAATGGTGAGTTCACAGCAAAACCATGCTTAGAGCCAATTTTTTTTATGGAAATATCGATGTTCAAACAATTTTTGATATTGAAGATAAAATTAGAAACTGCAGTGTTACGCTACCATACATGTACTATTGTTAATTGTTATGTAGCATCAATAATAGCATCGTTAATTAAGATTGATAATATAACAATAACGGCAATACTAATACTTTTCTATTCATTAATATTAAGAGTAAATTTATAATTCGCTATGATGTAAATTTGATTTTTTTTAATTAACGGTTGGTTATAATTGTAACTCAACACGAAATATGGATGAAGAGCAAAATGATATCGCGCCTTCTTTTGCAGAACTAGGAATGAAAGAATATGATGAAACGAATGATATTATCCGTCAAAATGTTCAAGAATTATGGGAATTCTGGCAAAAAAAAGAATGTACCTGTAGAAAAACTAAAACTAAAAAAAAAACTTGTTATGAAAAATAGGATTTTATTATTTTTTTAAAAAGCAAGAAGAATATCGCGATATGTCTCATAATAATTTAAATACCTCGATCATGGGACAACTCACGTCATTTGCATATAATAAACTACAAGAATCTGATAATTCTATAACAGACAATCACATTAAATATCAATATCGTTATGATGCTTAACACACCATGTGTATATCCACTTATCTGAAATTAATTGGAATTTCTTCAAGTCGACTTGACAGAATCAAATCGCATATTAAAAATAATGGAATAGTAGAGCTAATCCATGGTAATACAGGACATACTTCGATTCAATCTGATCGTGCTATAATCGATGACAATATAAAACAAGATATTAATAATTATCTTTATAACTATGCAAATATTTATAGATTTCTGTCTCTGGGTCGAAATATGAAAAATAATGCCATGCCTATTATTTCTCTTCCAACAGATATAACATATACTAGTGTATATGAAGCCTATATTTCTACTATCAAGTCCAATAAAGAAGATAATTATAAACCTATAGCTTATACAACATTCACTCAAATTTGGCATGAAGTTGCACCTGATATTCGATTTATGACTAAAGCATCGGATTTATGTGATAGATGTGAGCAGCTTCGTGTTAAAATTCGAGTTGCTAAGGATGTTGAAAGCAAACAAAAATATCAAGATGAATATGATCTTCATCAGGCAGCTACAACAATCGAGCATCAACACTATAATAAAAGTATTGACATGAGTAGGAACCCAGAATTAAATATTGCACATATTTGTTATGATTGGGCTCAAAATGTACCAATTCCTTATTCGCCACAACAACCTGGAGGTTTATTTTTTAAATTGCCATTTAATGTTCATGTTTTTGGAGTTACGAATACCTGTTTAGAACCTGCAATACAAAGAAATTATATAATCGGTAAATATCAATTACTAATGAAAACACCTAAAGGTGCTTATATGACTCTGAATCTTGTATACAACAGTTTACTTAATTGGAATTTCACGAAAAAACACTTAAAAGTCACATGTGATAATTGTAGTGGCCAAAATAAGAATAATCTTACTCTCTGGTTTTATTCATGGCTTACTATAATTAAACACTTTGATACAATTGAACTTAATTTTATGATTACTGGTCATACTAAATTCATTTGTGATGCATATTTCGGAAAAATTAAGTCTTTATATCGTAGATGCAATGTTATGAGTATGGATCATGTTGAAGCTGTTGTTAATGAGTCGACTAAAGAAGGAAGCAATATAGCAATTCAATATGATTTAAAAAATCAAACGGGATGGAATTATTATGATTTTGAAATATTTCTTGAACCTCAGTTTGTTAAGTATGATGGCATTCAGGCATTTCGGCATTTTTACTTTTATAGTGATAAACCTGGAAAAGTATTTATGTCACTAGAATCTAATGGTCAGAAAG